ATGAGTGAGAGTGGGTGAGAGTAAAAGAGAGCACTGAGGTGCGGAGCCTGAGCAAGCCCGGGCCTCGGCCAGTGGGTGAGTGGTGACGCCACTCACTGCAGCACCAGGTTGGTGGGGCGGCACCAGGCTTAGGGGGCGGGGAAACCCAGTGTGGTCTCAGCCTTCCTAAATTTGAGATGCCAACCGAAAGCATACAGGAGGAACACATAAGTCTGGGGCTCTGGCAAGAAGTCAAGGCCAGAGACATACACTTGGAAATCATCAACTCAGAAAGGAATTTTAAGCTGCGGAACTAGGTAAGGTCACCCAGGGAAGGAGCAATGGTACAGAAGTGGTCTGAAGACTGGCTGCAGCCACACCAACTCTGGGCTGATGTAGAGAGTAGGAGCCAGCAAAGGAGGCAGAGAGGGTACCCGAGGATGAAGGCAGAAGAGAAGAAAAAGGAGACACAGATGAGACAGAATACTGATGCGGTCTTTCAGCCCCTGGACCCAAGTGCCTAAAAATCCAATAACTCTAGGATTTTTCAATTAGGTGAGCCAATTCCAATTGTGCATATGCTATCTGAGCTGGGCTTCCGTCACTTAGATTCAGAAGAATTATGACTAACTTAATGCCTATGGCATGCCAGGTGTTATCTCGTTAAGGGTCCAATAAGCAACAGCACTAGAGCTTGCCATCAAGGAGCCTGTCGAAGGGACAGTGCTAAACGCTATGAAGTCTGAGTGCACGGGCCCCTCTGAGAGGACAGAAGGGAGCAACGGACTCAATCTGCAAAAGGAAGGACAGTTATAGTTATCTTCCCAATATCTTTCCAGTTAAAGAAATAGTAAAATTTATAGACATAAGACAAGAAACATCCCTAGAGCAGAGAGGACATCAGTCTGGAAGTGAAACTTTGTCATGCAAAATAAATCAACTAGATAACTCAAATATGAACAAAAAATAATACTCTACTCACAGTTATAAATTTGTTTTTGTAGTGGAACTGTGTAGAAGTTCAACAGAGTGATAAAACGTTATTCTGAAAGAGTCCATACCTTCCCATAATTGGTAATTCTTATCATATGTGACATGGTAAAAAAAGTGTAAGCCTTAAGTTTAGCATCACTTTCAATTCTACATTAGTCTCTTCCCTGCATCAGTTCTGTGACCTTGGTCAAGCCGGTTAACCTCGCTAAGTCTCAGGGCCCTCATCTGTAGCGGGTGACAAACCACAGTCACAGGATGGCAGTAACAGGGAAACGAGATCCCATAAACAACACGCCCCACATCACAGGGGCAGCACAGACAGGCCCACTCGGTCCCTTCCTGTGTAATTTCACACGGACCCACCTGCTCTCCCCTCTAACCTACTGACGCATATTTACTGGGCTGTCAGATTCAAATGAATTCAAGTGCGAAAGTTCAGCCCTTGGATTCATCTAGGGTTATCTAAGAGCACGAAAACATCTCTCACACCTACAAACAAAAGAAACAAACATTTTTAGAAGGACATTATCCCAATAATGCAAATCGAGTAGTGCCAAAGCCTTCCTCGCCTACGCTTTCCTGTTTCTGGTGGACCGAAACAAAACGACCCAAAGTTATTGAAACCTTACATTTGTCCCTTTCCAAGAAAAGACACTAAACCCATGAATTCTAACACCATGTAGTTTTGTCCTCTTTGTCAGCTATTGCATAATGTTGGGAGGTGGGAGGACATAAAGTGGGTTTTTTCCTCTAATTTTCAGGGATGGGTTCCTATTTAACAGTGAAAAGCAACAATTTTGTTGGGTGCCTCTGGATATTCTGTGGTCCCATTGCTGTTTACCAAATGCAGAGTCCTCTCACGTAAATCAAACTCTTCAGTGTATGGACTACGGGAGACATCAATTAACTACCACTTGCCATTCTTTTTCCTGTCTAATCCCATCTAGTCACCTTTGATAACTTCAACTTGAGCTATTCTGAAGTAGATCTTATATTTTGCCCTTTATTCCATACTCCTAAAAAATTAGATGGTTAAAATATAGATCCAAGATACTTAACAAATGAAACAGAATTCAGGTACAGAAAACTCAGTAACCTGACTCTGATTCAATCATCATGTTAAGAAATATTTGCATACTGAGAGGTTTTCTAAGTCAAACACAACATAATACTTCTTTATCAACTTCTGTTGTGCAAGTGGTAACTCAACTATAAATGAATGTTCAGAAATATAAATAACTTAAAAATTAGGTATAATTTCAATAGAACAATGCAGTTCACACTAAAAGAGGCCAAAACTGGGAAAGTTTGTACCTCGCCTGTGAAATGCAAGTGGGGTTACTGGCAGCTCAAGGCTCCCCACCCGGAGACAAACTGTGCCCTAAATACACTGACCACTATGTGGAAAACAGACGTAAAAACAGATTTTAAAGAAAACTGGGGAAGAAGCCGGAGTAGGTAAACACTGGGCTCACCCCCTCTCACAAGCCCATCAAAATTACAACTAAACTACAGAACAACCATCATTGAGAATTGCCTGAAGTTCAGCTGAACAGAAGTCTTACAACTAAGGACATACAGAAGAAGTGACCTCGAGACTGGCAGGAGGGGCAGAGACTAGAATGGACTGGTCTCACGCGCGTGTGTGTGCATGCACACAAACACACACGCTCTCTCTCTCTCACGTGGTGGTTAAAAATCGAAAGGAGTTATCTCGGCTGCGGAGGTCCCCTCTGAGAAGCGAGGAGTCCCAGCCCCACACCAGGCTCTCCAGTCTGGAGTTCTAGTGCTGGGAAGAGAAATCCCCATAACTGCTGGCTATGAAAACCAGCAGAGATCATGGCTGAGTGAGACAGAGGGCGGTTGCACTCCCAGGCTCTCCTTTTAAACAGTCCATGCACGGACTCACTCGCTGATGGGCTCACTTGCTCTGAGCTCCAGCGCTGGGGCAGCAGCTCGAAAGGTACCAGGGACACACAGGGAAAATCTGAGATGACTGGCTTCAGGGCACAGGCTGGAGGGGGCAGTTTTCTCCCAGACAGAAGTGCTGGCAGAAGTTCGCTGCTCCTTTGTTGAGCCCTCCCTTCACCCAGCCTGCACACACCGGTGGCTGCCACTGCTAAGTCTCCGTCAACCTGGCTAACACCACTCGCCCTGCCGTAGTGATTCCATAAGCCCCCACCCCGCCCAACTTGCAGGCCCACCCAAGTGGCTTCCAGTGGCTTTTCCATACAAACGGCCTGTCTTGGCTCACACAGCAGAATTTCCTAAAACCTTTCAAAGGTTCACAAACCCCAAACACAGGCAGCACTGGTGTGCCTCACACTGCTTGCTGAGCAGCCCCAAGCCAGGCACCAGTGGCAGCCAACCTCAGTTCCCAGCTCAGCCTCTCCTGGGCACCTTCAAGTCCAGCACAAGTGGCAGCCATCTGCAGATCACTTGGTAGCTCATACCAGTGGCCCCAGGCAGGGCACAGGCAGCAGTTGACCCTGACCTTCAACAGAGGTCCTCCCAAAAAGCCCAGAACCAACACACTCGGTGGCCAGTTTCAGGCCACACCAGAATACCACCAACCCAACTCCACAAACAAAAAAGGGCAGACTGGGCAGGCAGCAGAGCTCTAACCTAATAAAGCAAATCCTACCCTGCACAGCAGCTCCTCCACTGTAGTGATTTCACTTATATGTGGAATCTAAAAAACAAAATAAACAAACAAACAAAACAGAAACAAACTCATAGATACAGAGAACATTTTAATGGTTGCCAGATGGGATGGGGACTGGGGAATAATGAAGGGGGGAAGGGATTAAGAAGTACAAATTGGTAGTTACAAAATATTCATGGGGATGTAAAGTACAACATAAGAAATACAGTCAATAATATTGTAATACTATGTATAGTATCAGATGGGTACCTGATTTACCAGGGTGATCACTTTGTGAGTTATATAAATGTCTAATAACCTGAAAATGTTGTACACCTGAAACTCATATAATATTGTTTGTCAACTGTAATTGAAAACTAAAAAATTATTAAACAGAAAAAAAGAGAAACAGTTCAGAAGCACTAATAAAGAAAAACAACAGGGCCGGCCGAGTGGCTCAGTTGGTTAAGAGCTCGCTCAAGAGTTTGAGCTCTGAGCAATAGTGGTTCGATGCCAGCCTGAGCTGAGCAGCCGCTAAGCTGCCAATAGGTAGCAGGATGGCTCAGCTAAAAAAAAAAAAAAAATCTTGATGAATTCTATAATGATGAAAGAGTTAATTCCTCAGAAGACACAGCAATTGCAAACATATATATATATATATATATATATATACATATACACCTAACAACAAAGCCAGAAAAATAAGTAAAGCAAAAACTGACAAAATTAAAGGGAGAAGTAGAAAATAATCCACTTTCAATAATAAACAGAACTAGACAGAAGACCATCAAGGAAACACAAAACTTAACACTATAAACCGACTACACCTCACAGACATCTATAGAACACTCCACCCAAAACAGAATATACATTATTCTCAAGTACCTGGAACATTCTCCATGATAGACCAGATGTTAGGCCATAAAACAGGCCTCATGTATTTTAAAATAATGAAGTTATATAGTGTATTCACCAACCACAAAGACATCACATGACTGTGAATTTCTCATCAGAACAGATGCCCACAAGTCACATATCACCCTCTAATCTTTAAAGAGCCATCTACTGCAACCACACTGGTCTGATCTGTACACTCCAAAAGTGCCGATGCATTGCCACACTGTGTTGTCTTATATACTGAGTGCCCACCCTTGTCTCCTCACCACCTTAAAAAGTTCTTCGTCTCCTTCAAGGCCTAACTCAAACCTACCTCACTTCACCAAAGCCTCCAGAGTCTGCTGAGAAACTTTTCTCATTTTGTCAACATACATTGTTTTAACTTATTGTTCAATTATTATAATTCAAATTTCTGCCTAACATTTCTATAAGGAAAGTGACCTATCAGGATGTTCTTAAGCAGTCAAATTTCTAACAAGATACTCACGGCCATTCTGATTCAGGATGCTTTTGGTGAGCTTCTATGACATTAATTGCAATATTGAGGTTTTCTTCCAGTTCTTTAATTCTTGAAGCATTAAGGGATGTGAACAAAATCATTGAAGAGTAGGCAACAATTTTTTTGTCTGGATGATTTAAGCAAGACCTTCCAAATAAAGAAATGAAAAGTATTAGCCCATTTAACAATGTTGATAAAATATGATTATAGCACATAAATAACAATCCCTTTAATAAATTCAGTACATACTGATTTTTTAAGGCTTTAATGAAGAGTTACAATACTCTGAAACATGTATATCATTTACTGTGAAAACAGCAAGTATAAAATTGGTCAAACACAAAGTATCCATTAATAGTTATGAGAGACAGAATGTTTAAGGGGAAGATGGTATATTGGTGAGAAAAAGAATCTGGAGTCCAGAGCCTCAGTGTAGGTCCTGGTCCATCTACCTATATCGGCTGTGTCATCTTAGAAAGGTCACTAACTGTCAATTATGCTATGGCGGTTTTCATTTCAACTTCCTAATACTCTTCTGAGGAGGTATTATCCTAGTATTACAGATAAAGAATGTGTTGACTTACTTGCCCTTAGACACACAAAGCCAGTACCAGCCAAAGTTGGAATTCCAATTTGGTTACATGTGTCTCAGAAACACATGAAGAGTGAAGTCACCTAACCTCTTCCCGTGTGTTTTCTGATATGAAAATGGAACACACACACAAGACCTCCTCGGCCTACCTCCCAGGGCCTCTGTGAGGACGATATGAGATCATGTATGTAAAGCACCAGGTAAACTGTCACAACTTCTCTGACCATCTACATGTGTTCAAGGGACCCTCCCTGGTTTCCATGACACCTAGATTTCTCTCGATGGCCCTTCTTACACTACCACGTGCTCACCTATTCCTTTATCTCTCCCACCAAAGCCTGGGCTCTTTGGGGTTAATACCCGCATCCCACTTCCCTGGCTCAACCTGGCAGACATTAGGCGATCAAACTGTTTTAAAGGAATGACTTCTCAAAAACAAGTAATTTCTATTTCTGTAGCTGGAATTCCACAATCCTTCCCTTCTACCTAAGCTCAATTATTATTAATCATAAAGATAACAGGCATATGCCTTCAATTCTGATTATCTGCAGGAATTTGAGCGGCAGTTACAGACGCAGCGAGCTGGAAGTAGCATGAGAGGCATCTGACCTAAACACTGTCCTTCCCAGATGACCCAGAAAACTGACACAACCAGGGAAGGCAGCAAAGAATTCAGGCAGCGGGTGTGACGAGTGTGGACTTTGGGGCCAAGAGCAGCTCTGCCATCTGCCAGCAATTAGAGTCCATTCCCTGGTGTGTCCAGATGGGGACCTACCTGGCAGGGCTATGCACAGAACAGGGATAACAGAGCAAATGCCATTGAACGACAGCTGCTGCTCTGCTGCTTACACTGCTGCCAGCACCAAAGTCACCCCACTGGGGGGCCACAGAGCCGGGACCGCCCCTCCCAAACGGCACCTTTCCTCTTCCCTATCCACTCACCTTTCCTCTCTGCTCAGTTTCTCACAGACTAACAGAGCTACTCAAAGCACAGCAGGAAATCACCAGGAAGAGCACCGGGGAGCGGATAGAGGTACACAGCCCTGGGGTCCCGCCTCCCAGTTCTCCACAGCCACCCGACCAAACGTGTAAGCGCTCAATACACTAAGGAATGATTAACTCACTGCCCGTACTGCAGTGTTTTCTGGCTTGTTTCTTCTTTTTCCTTATAAATTTTTTCTTATAAATAATTAGTGTCCTTAACTATATTTCTTATTTTAACCACAACTTTTATTTTCTTAAAGTAAAACTGACATACAATAAAGGGCACTGATCTTAAGTGTATAGCTCAATGAACTTTGAGGGATGAATACCCCTATGTGACCACCACCCAGATCAGGGCAGAGAACATTCTCGGAACCCCAGGAGGCTACTTCGTGCCCTCTCAGCCAGTACTCAACTGGCCACCACCCGAGAAAAAATACTACCCCAAGTTCTATTACCAAAGGTTCATTTCCCCTGGTTTTGAACTTCATGTAAATGGAATGACAGAACCACAATCTTTTCATAAGTTACAAAAACTCGTATCAAAATACTCACAAAAAGAGTTCTGGGAAAGCATGTAACCAGACAACAGACTGGGAATCTTCATTCCGTGAGGCAATATTGCCCAAAAACTGCAGGCCACAGCGAAAAGCTGAGTTTATAAAAGTAAAAAAGATACGTGATTTTAAAAATATTTTTAACACAATGAATGAATACATCTTGATAAGAAATATTCCCCAGGAAGTTTGTGAGGTTATTTTAATTATAAAGGTCTCTCGCCACAATGAAACTTTGAGCATGACATTAAAATGAAAATGCCTTACCAAAACAATGCATTCTACGAAGTTAACTTCTTAAAAAGATTGTAAATGTTAACACAAATAGACCTGTAATTACATTAAATATCATTGGAATATGGACTCAAATTAAACTCTTAGACTGTGTTTTTAAAAATGTAATACATGCTATTTAAAATAGACATCTAAAACATGAGGTTATATAAGTATTGCAAGAATGATAAAAAGATATACTAGGGAAAGAGCCTAAAAAGAACATCACAGATCATTTAAAATCGGACATAATAAACCTTAAAGCTAAAGATTAAGGCAAAAGGCATCATAGGAGATTTATTTCTAAGTTGTTTCAGAATAACTTAATTCACCAGAAAGGTATGATAATTTATTTTATTTTTTTTTTAAGCTGAGCCGTCCCGCCACCTGCTGGCAGCTCAGCTCAGGCCGGGAATCGAAACGGCGACCCTGCTGCTCAGAGCTTGCATTCTTGAGCGAGCTCTTAACCAACTGAGCCACTCGGCTGGCCCAAAAAGATATAATAATTTTAAATTGGAATGATCTAATAACATAGACTCAAAAATATATATATATAAGAAAAACTGAAAAAAATCCATAATTAAGTTGGGAGATTATAATACACCTTTCTCAGTAACTTGCAGAACAAGTAAACAAAAATATCAGTATATTTAAAATATTTGAATAAGATTTAATAACCTTGTTGACATGTTAGAATATTTCACCAAATAAAACCGCAGACTACTGGACAAAATCCAGAATGCCAACACCACCAGATGCTGGCGAAGATGTGGAGCACCAGGAACTCGCATTCATCGCTGGTGGGAATACAAAATGGTGACGCCACTTTGGAAGGCAGCCTGGCGGTTTCTTACAGAACTAAACATACTCTTAGCATATGCTTTAGCAGTTGTGTTCCTTGGTATTTACCCAAAGGGACTAAAAACTATGTTCACACAAAAACCTATGCACGAATGTTTATAGCAGCTTTACCCATAATTGCCAAGACTTGGAAGCCACCAAGATGTCCTTCAGTAGGTGATGGATAAATAAACCTTGGTCCATCCGGACCATGGAATAGTATTCAGTACTAAAAAGAAATTAATGATCAAGCCAGGAAAAGACATTGAGAAAACTTAAATGCATATGACTAACTGAAAGAAGCCAATTTGAAGAGGCGACACACTGTGTGATTCCAAGTATATGACATTCTGGAAAAGGCATAACTCTGGAGACAGTAAAAGGATCAGGGGTTGTCAGGGGTTGGGCGAGGGAGGGATGAACAGGGGAGCACAGAGGATTTTTAGGACAGTGAAACTTCTCCATATGACACTATAATGATGGGTAAGTGTCATCATACATTTGTCCAAACCCATAGACTATATAGTTCTAAATAACACATGGGGACAAAAAAAGAAATTATAATGAAAATAAAATATTTCAAACTGAATGTTACCAAAAGTATTACTAACCAAAACTTCTGGGATGCAGCTAAAAGAGTGCACAGAGTGAAATTTAACTTTAAAATGCAATTTACAGCTTTAAAAAGATGAACAATGAAAATAAATGAACTAAGCTTTCGTTTCAATAAATTATAAAAAGAATAGCAAAATAACCCCTCAAAAAATGAAGAAAATAAAGATGAAGAGCAAGACATTATTATAATTGAAAATAATCATAAAATAGAGAATATTGACAAATTCAAAATTTGATTCTTCAAGAAGCTCAATACTGATCAGCCTTTGGGAAGACGGATCAAAACAGAGAAAAGCACAAATAGCAAAGACAAATCTTCAGAAATGAAAAAGGGGACACTGCCATAGATCTTGCAGACATCAAAAAAAGGAAATCTGAAAATATTATAAACATTATGCCAAACTGTTTGAAATTTTAAATAAACAAAACCCTAGAATATAACTAATAAAAACTGACCGTAAAAAATTCTGTGAAATACTGAAGAAAAGCCTGAAGAGTCCTCTAACCATTAAGGAAATTGAATCAGTAGTCAAATGTTTTCCCAAAAGCAAAACCCCAGACCCAGATGGTTTCACTGGCCAGTTAGCATTCAGGGAAAAACTAATTCCAATGACACAACTCTTCCCGAGAATAAGGAAAGAGGGAGTAGACTCCCAAACCAACTGTATGAGGCGAGCATAACACCTCATAAATCAGAACAAGGATAGCATCAGACAGGGAAACAACACTCATGTAAAAAATGCTAAACAGGGCTGGCCGAGAGGCGCGATGGTTAAGAGCTGGCTTGGGATGCCAGAAGGCCCCGGTTCGGATCCCACATATGAGGGCCAGTGACACTGCCCTCCACAGCTGAGATGCTGAACAGCGGCTCGACCTGGAGCTGAGCTGCCGTGAGTCGCCGGCGACGGCGTAGGCTGCAGCCCCTGTGGCAGTGGGTTGCCATGGGCTACCGTATGTAGCCAGCAGCCAGCGTGAGCGGCCAGCAGCCGCTGTGAGCGGCCGTCCAGAAGCCGGCGACTGATCTGCCTCGCCTGGGAAGAGCGCAATGATGGTGCCAACTTGGGCCGGTGAAGCAACGTCCTCCACAGCTGGACTGAGGAACGAAACGACAGCAACTTGTCTGTTCCCCTTCCCCCAATTCCCCAGCACTGTTCCCATCCCCTCAATTCCCCAATAAAAATCTTAAAAGAAAAAAAAGCTAAACAATATACTGACAAAATGAAACCAGTAACACACAACAGGACAAAGCTGAATTTACAACTGCATTGAAAGCTACTTTAACATTAGAAATCAAAAATTGTAACTGACCGGGCCGGCCGAGTGGCTCAGTTGGTTAAGAGCTCGCTCAAGAGTTTGAGCTCTGAGCAACAGCGGTTCAATTCCCGGCCCGAGTTGAGCAGCCGCTGAGCTGCCAACAGGTAGTAGGATGGCTCAGCTTAAAAAAAACAAAGCAAAACAAAACAAAACAAAATTGTAACTGACCACATTAACTTATAAAGGACAAAATCCTATGATCATCTCAAATACTACAGAAAACATATTTGATGAAATTTGACACCCACTCATAATTTAAAGCAAAGCAAACCAAAACTCCTACCCGTCAAAGAAGAGAAGGGGGCTTCTTTAATCTAAAACTGGGTGTCAACAAAAATCTACAGCACACGTTATAATCAACTGCCAGCAGGAGAGACGCGCGCCTCTGAAAGGGAACACGTCGAAGACGCCTGCGGTCACCGTGCCTGGTCAACACCGGACTGCAAATCTCGGTCAGCAAGACAGAAAAATAAAGGCCTGCGAACTGGAGAAGAAGCTGAGTGCCGTTTCACCCTCACAGATGAAATGTCATTTCTAATATAAGTAGAAAATGTTTTTTAAATGCATAAGTTGTTTAATAAGAGCTTGTAAACATTGCAGGATACAAAATAAACATGAAAAAAACCAGTTTTTCTATATACAGGGAATGAGCAAAAAACAAGCCATCACTTATAAAAGTATCAAATATATGACCAAAAATGTTGTAAAATGCCACTAAAAAAACTTGATTGAAAGATACTAAGTGAAGAATTATATCATGTTCACAGATTAGAGGACTCAGTTTTTATCTAGAGATTAAATGCAATCCCAAACTGAATTACAATGGGTGTGTGTGTGTGTGTGTGTGATTTCACACACCATAGCATGTGTATATGTTTGTGTGAGCATGCTATAATTTGACAACGGTGAGTCTAAAATTTATATGAAGATACAAAGAGTCAAGAATATCTGAGATGTTGATCAAAGTAATGAGGTAAGATTTGTTTTCACAAAACAATAAGCGATTGCGAGTACGACAGTGTGGGGCTGGGTCAGAACAGACATAGAGCCAACAGAACAGAACAGACTCAAAACTATAGTGACATGTGCTTAATGACAGAGATGGAACAGCGGACAGTTGGGGTAAAGACCATCTTTCCAAAACTAACGCTGGGCACCTGGGCATCCGTGTGGGAAAATGGAATGGGCTCCTTGCTCACACAACACAGGCAAGTCAACTCCATGCGCCGACCTAAATGTAAAACTAGAAAGGTTTTAGAAAACAACACTGCAAAAATAAGGTTTTTAAACAAGACACATAGAATAATACCCACAAAGAAAATATTAATAAACTAGACTACATTAAAACTAGGACCTTTTTTTCTCTCAAAAGACAACACAGGGAGTTAAAAACAATAACACAAAGCCTAGCCATAGACTAGGAAAAGCTATGAAACACAACTACCATAGGATTGCTATATAAAATATAATAAAAGAGCTCTTATGAATCATTTTAAAAGACAAACAATCCAAGAGAAAAATGGGCCAAAAAAAACCCCAAAACTTGAAAAACAATAAGATATCCCAAAGGCAAATATATACATATATATGAAAAAGTGCTTAATCCCATGGGAAAACCATGAAATTCTACTCCATATCCACCAGATTGGCAAAAAGTGCAGTCAGAAATAACCAAGTGTTTGTGAGGCTATAATGCAACAGGAACTGAAGGTTCTTGAACATCCTTTATGTCCAAGACAGTCCCTGAGCTCTGTCATTCAGACTGCATTTAAAATACTTCGGATTGGGGCCGGCCACATGGCGCGATGGTTAAGAACTCGCTTGGGATGCCAGAGGGCCCCGGTTCGGATCCCACATATGAGGGCCAGTGACACTGCCCTCCACAGCTAAGATGCTGAACAACAGCTCAATCTGGAGCTGGGTTGCCATGAGTCGACGGCGTAGGCTGCAGCCCCTGTGGCAGTGTGTTGCCATGGGCTACCGTGTGTAGCCAGCAGTCAGCGTGAGCGGCCAGCAGTCAGCGTGAGCGGCCAGCAGCCGCAGTGAGCGGCCG